TGGGAGACAAGTTATTTCACTCGTGATTGGAGGCTAGCAATAGGAGGAAGCCTCTTTGCAGAGACAAAGTATGGGCAGTTTTGCAACCGCAATTCTCAGCTGACTTCCTAGAATAAGACGCCCTTCAGTTTTTAGGGTAAGGATTTTAGAAAAAAGTATTGTCTTATAGTCGGAAAAATACGGTAATTGCTTCTCCAACTCCCTCCTTAGTGGCTCATTCCTTCCTTCCCCCCTTTAATGGTTCTTTCATAGCTTTCCCAACCTTTATACCATGGAAGTTCTGTGTCATGCCATGATTGAGGCTAGTTTACAATCTTGAGGAATTCCCATTTTATGCTTAAGGTTACAGAAAACTATAAAACTGTATTAGAAAAATTACTTTTAGAGTTGAACACTTCTTAATAGCATTGGCCAGTGAGCAGCAGTCTCGATAAGTGAACTCAAGAAGATTCCATTCAAAATTCATGCCACAGTCTTTAACACCATATGAAAGATGAAGCTCCTCGAGATGAGGGAGTGTAGGAACAAGCAGGCTCAAATCAAAATGGTCCATAGAAGGTTCCTCTATTTCAGCATCACTTTCAGTATCAGAGATTTCTTCTTCTTCCTTCTTTTGATCTAGCTTCACTGGTGGAAGGAACTGGTCAATCTCTAGTTTTTTCACATACTCCTTGCATAGTGGAATGATATCCAGAACTTGGTTGGGACTAGTAGTATCTGGAATGTAGAACTTCAAAATATTTTCCAAGTGACGTTCAAAAAACATTTGTTTCCAACTGTTTCCATAGAGGGATACATCACAGACTGTCCATCTTCCAGTACAGCACCGTTTCCAGTAGCCTTCATCCCTAATCAAATTGGCAGTCACAGTAAGGGGTAGGCTTGTGGAGATCTTTTCTAGCACTTTCTTTTGGTGATCAGGAAGTAGGCTTTCCAAGATAGGATTCTCTGGTTGGAAAGAAGTTAGGATTACAGGGGAATGTAGAGAGCTATTCACTGATTTATCTATATGGCCCTTACACTAGGCATATGTTGTTTTAGTATGACTGCCACCAAAAAATCTTGCCAGTTTGTGAGTATGCTGAGAACATTATTAAGAATATTTAGTTGTCTTCACAGAGCTGCCATTCTCAGGCAGAGGGAATAATCGGTTTCAAACTATTTTGTGGATTCACATGCTGTGTTACAGCAGAAATGGCAGTTATTCAAACTAGGCAAAATTATGAATTAAATGAGTTAACTAGGAGCATTAGGAGCAATTTGATCTATGGTACAACTGCTTGATATTTTGAAAAGAGTCATCTCATCTAATTTCCTTTTTCCCCAGTTGACCCTCAATAGCAGATATATTTCCAAACTGTATTAAATGATACTTCCTCAGCAAGCAACTTTATACAGGAAAGCACATGACTTACGTTCAAAATTGTTGATTATGTGCTGGATGCAGAGCTCTGTGAGCTGTGGAACTATGGCTAGATTCCATTCAGGATCTTCAGCAATAATCCGTCGCATTCGTCGGGGATTAGCTGCAGGATTTTTTTCTGTTACATGGCTTGGAGGAGGGACCGTATTTTGTTCTCCAGCTACATTCTCCTGCATCCTGTTGTGCTGCTGTAATTTTTCTCTGCCCCTTAATTAGAATGGAAGAAAGTTCTATGTAGATTGGATCATCACTAATGTTCTATAGCTACCACTCATTGAAGAAATATTTACAAAAGAACCAAAAGTCAAAATTTTGTCTGGTGCTAATAAAATATTTGTTGTAAAGCACACAATAAGGAAGTTGGGGAAATCCTTTAAAGCTGCATTTATTTAAACTTTTAATATGGTACAGGCAATAATTAGCTCCATCAATGCAGACATTAACACGGCAAATTATTTTATTGAGTCAACTTCTCTGTGTGTAAAAATATTCAAGAACTGCAAATTGTTTACATCAAAATTTTGCTCTGTCTTTTCTTGAACTTTTAAATGTCTCTTAAAGATGAAATGACTCATGAACAAATCACATGCATATGCAAAGATGAACCTTTGAATTGGTCAATTTAAAGCTCCTGAGCTGAAGAACAGTTGAGTTACAAATACCTCAACAATTTTTGTTTCCAGCCACCTCTCCTTTGTTAAGAGAAATGTGAATGTGGATGCAATAAGTTGCTTATAAAGACCATAAGGAAGCATAACAACAATAGCCACACTGCATTGCTGGCCTTCCTGTGATCTGTACCCAGTAGAATATGATTTCTGGAAAACTAAACTTCCATGTAGAGGTTGATGGAAAAGAAACGGTACATTTTTTCAGCTTACTTTCTTTTCATATATGAGTACTATAAACACAGATTTCATAGAATCACAAAATATATGACTTAGGGGGATTTTACAGATTATCTAGTCCAATCCTTTTTCAGGGCAGGAATCCACTACACAATCCTATTCTAGACATAGCATTTCATTGTTCAACAGTTCTTAACATACATAAATTTCTCCTAATATTGAGCCTGAATTTCCTTTCTTTTCATTTCAACTTGTTGGTCCTTGTTTTCTCTTCCATTAAAAAAAAAAGGAAAAAAAAAAGAACAGGTTTACCCACTCTTCCACATGACAGACTTTTAGATATGTATAGATTATTGTACCCCCTTAAGTCATGCTATGGTAGTGAGGGGGTGTTCCTGGGAGGAATGAGAGAAGAATGCTGGGAATGTGTTCCAAAAGTATATACTGTATTCCCAACAAGGTCACCAAGGCATAAAGGGCATCCTATTTGCACAGCTGAGGCATGCAGGCATCTGTATCAGGCAGCAGCAATTATAGGAAGATGATGGAGATAATGATCACCTAAGAGATAACAGTAAATACATCATTTCATACTGTGCAGGAGAAGACAATGGTCTGTCCATGTAGATAGACAAGATAAAGTGATTGATGACCTAGTGCCAGATGATGGGCCCCACAGGTCAGAGGACTGGAGTACTAAAAGTGTTTATAATGCAGCTAGATTAAAACCTTTGGGATGCCTAGTTGTTGATGTTGCCATACAGGAAAAGCAAATCCAAAGTAGTAGGAATATGGATTATAAGAAGCAAGAACATGGGAAAGCTCAGTACAATGAATATGAAATGAGTCAACTACAGATTGAAATCTTAGGCATCAGTGAATTGAAATGGATTGTAACTGGGCACTTTCATTCAGAAGATCATACCATTTACTACGCAGGATACAAAAAACAAAGAAGGAATGGCACTTTCATAGGATATAGCAAAGACAGTACTTGGATACAGTGCAGTCAGTGACCAAATAATATCGATTCGACTTTGGAGACAGTCCTTTAATATGATGGTTATCCAAGATTAAGGTCCATCCACTGATGCAGAAGATGAGGAGATTGATGATTTTTATGATTAAGTTCAATTTGAAGTTGATAGAACGTGAAAGCAAGATGTTCTGCTTGTGATTGGAGACTGGAATGCCAAAGTTGGAAATAGTAAGAAAGAAAATGTAGTTGGAACGTATGGCCTAGGAACAGAAATAGAGCAGGAGAACAACTTATCATTTTCTGCCAATCCAGTGATTCTTCACTACTAGCGCAGTCTTCCAACAAACAAAATGATACCTATATACATGGACATAATCAAATGGAGTACACAGAAATCAAAGTGACTATGTTATTGGTACTAAGAGGTAGAAGAGCTCAGTTGTAACAGGAAAGACATGGCTAGAGGCTGATTGTGGAAGAGATCATGAACTGCTCATGTGCAAGTTCCACATCAAACTAAAACAGAAGAAAGCTAACCAGTTTCCATGATATGATCTAGAGAAACACCCAGTATTTTCAAGGAAAATATCAGGAATCATGTTGAAGTTCTGAACCTCATTGATAGAGAACCAAAGAAATGGTGGAATGAAATCAAAGAAGTTCTTACATATTAATGTGAAAAAAGACTGCCAAAGACTAGGAAACAGAAGAAAGCAAACTGGATGCCTGAACAGTGGAAATTGCCAAGAAGTGAAGACAAAACTGATTGGTATGCTAAGGGACACCAATGGACAGATAGTAACCTATTCCAAGAAAATCAACCAAAGATGGAAGGAGTATACTGAAATTCTATACAGCAGAGATGTCAACATCCAAAATTCCTTAGAGAATATTCCTTCTTTACAAGAGCCTCTACTACTGGAAGATGAAGTTAGATCAACATTTTGGTCATTACCAAATCAGAAAGCTACAGGAACTGATGGAATATCTACAGAAATATGAGAAGTAATGGAAACAGAATCAGTAACAAATTTAATCAAACTGTGCTAGCAAATCTGGAGAAAAACACAGTGGCCAACAAATAGGAAGAGGTCAAATACCAAATAATACCAAATAATGATGACTTTATAGAGTATGCAAACTATCATAAAATATCCTTAGTTTCAAATTCTAATAAAATAATACTTAGGATCATCTAATGCATATTAGAGTCCTACATGGAAAAGGAGATGCCAGATGCTCAAGCTGGTTTAGAAAAGGCTGAGGAACAATATTGCTGATTACACTGGATAACTGTTAAAGCCCTAAGCCAAAAAAAATATTAAAAATATAAAAAAGACGTCAAGTATGATTACTGAAAGGCCTTTGATAGTGTCACCATGTCAGGTTGTGATAACCCTGAGAAAATCCCACAACCACTGATTGTCCTCATGCAAAACCCATACATAGGACAGGAAGCCACAGTCCGGATGGAACACAGCAAAGCAGACTGGCTCCAAGTCAGCCTAAGAGTAAGACAAGACTGTACACATTCTCCTTAGTCCTCAGCTTCTCCTATTTATTCAATGTATATGCTGAATACTGTATATATTGAATATTGAATATATGCTGAATACTGTATATATTAATAATTGGAGTGGAAGAAGACAAATGTGGTTTCAAAATTAGAGGAAGAAACATCAGTAACCTGTGCTGTGCTGATGACACTACTCTGACAGCTGAAAATACAAATGATCTGGAAGATCTGCACACAAACTGGACAGAATGCTTCTATTAATGTAGCCCAAGCTTTTATTGGCATTTTTAGCTGCTGCATCACACTGCTTGCTCATGTCCAGCTGCTAGTCCACTAGAATCTCTAAATCCCTTTCACTCATGTATTTGATTTTTCATAACCATTTGAACACTTGGTCATGTTAGCCAATTCTCTTAGCTTGGCATCATGTACAGATTTAAAATAACATCCCTTTCACTCCATTCTTTAGGTTATTTGTAAAGATAGCAAATAGCAAAGGGCCAAATGTGGAGTTTTGGGAGATTCCACTTGATACTTTTCTCCAGATCAACACAGAACCATTTATTAACATCCTTTAGCTGCAATTGTTCAACCAGTTGCAAATCTACTAAAATGCAGTACTCCTACCTTATATTTATCCATCATATCCACATGATGAGAGATTTTGTCAAATATTTCACTGAGATCAATTTACACTATATCCCTAGCATTCCCTTAGTGTATTAAACTAGTCACCCTTTCATAAAAAGATTTCATTTTGACATCCTCATGCTGGTCCCTGGTAATGGCAGAGATTCTTTTCGAAATACTCAGAAATGTTCCGCCTGACAATCTGCCCTAACACTTACCCAGGAGACAGTAAACTAACTGGTCTGTAATTTCCTGGATTCCCCTTCCCTTTTTTTTTTCATATTGGGACTATATTTGCTCCTTTCCAGTCCTCTACCCAAACTCTCCAGGGTTTTCAAAGACTACAGTCAACAGTTCTGAAATTATTTTTCCAGCTTGCTCCCTATCGGAAGCCAGATGGGCCAGAATTTTCCTGAATTCTAATTGCCTGAACACAGTGCCCTTCTCATGCACTCAGAGCAAGTGTGGTCAATCTCCCTGTCCATATAGCCACACTGCATTCCACACCACAGGCATGATTGGCTATTGTACTGTATTTCCACTGTCTAATCTGAAGAATGAGTGCCAGTCTAGTGTAGTGGTTAAGGCACCAGGCTAGAAACTGGGAGACCATGAGTTCTATTTCTGCCTTACATATAAAGCCCACTGGGTGACCTTGGCCCAATTACTTTCTCTCAGCCCTAGGAAGAAGGCAATGGCAAGCCACTTCTGAAATCTTGCCAAGAAAACTGCAGCAGGTAGTCCAGGCAGTTGCCAGGAGTCAACACTGACTAGAAGGCACCAAAAAGAAAAAAAAATTGAAGAATGGAAGTCTAAAAAATGCTACCCCCTCCCCCGAAAAGAAATAGCAATAATTGATTTTAACTTCTCTGTAAACTGCCCTGAGTTGTTTTTTAATAAGATAGGCAGTGACAAATTTAATAAATAAATAAATAAATAAA